AAGACTGAGTTCTTGTAGTTTTGTTGTTTTTGTTGTGCTGTGGCTTGCCATTTTTTTCCTAATCATTTTTACAACTTGCCTGTCAGCGGCTCCCCAGGAGCTTTCAGTTGTGAGAAATTACTACTACTGTGAATTCTGTTGAAACAACACAGCACTACCTGAGAGTGATGTTAATTATGACAGGCTTGCTGCAACTTCCATGCATTGAGCAGTCCTGTGGGAGTTCATCTGAAGTTCACTACTTAAGAGGCTCTGCTACTGATACCACATTAAGATCATCTCAGTTTTTTTTCTTCTGCCTCAACTGCCCAATTGCCGTGGGCTTTCTTTTTCTTGAAGAAAATAGATATGTCCATAGTGCAGAGTAAACATGGCCCATCTTCATTAGAGGTTCATTTTATGCTGTATTAGCAGTTACCTGTAAGAGTACATACTTGTAAACTTGTGGTAAAAGCACCTAATAAAAAATCCTCTCAATTATTTATAAAAGCAGTTTGAGTCTTGAAGTGCTACTCACAGAAACTGAACATCCTCCTTGGTGAATTAGTGATCACTCACTATTTGAAAGGACATATTTTGAGTGCCTGTATATAAACAGAGCTAAATCAATAACCAGCAGCCATCATTTGGGTTTCAGCTCAGCTCTGAAGTAGCACAGAAACATCTTACAAAGGTAGCAAGTCTCTTAACTTAGCAGGGTGGAGGGACATTTTCTGAAATACCACTGCTGCATCAGGCAGCTGAAATGCAGAGCTGTAACAGGGAGATTCACAGTTGTTTTGCAGATTCAGATGAACCAGTGAGGAATCATCTGTGTGGCACTTACAATCCAGTGCAACATCACATTTAGATAATTCTCCTGTGCTTCTGCATTTCCCAAGCATGGAAACTACATTTTCTGCTTCAAAAAGACAATCTTCCTTTCTCTATGCAGAAACCACAGATAACATGACATGGTCCAACACTGCAGTATTCAGTTTTAAAATTCACAGTTGTTACAGGCATGTATGCTTCATATAAAAAGCTATTAGATAAAAAAAGCAAATTTTGTGCAGAAACCTGAACATCTTTAAAAACTGTTTTCTGTTTTCAGCTGATTTCAGCTTCCCTTTTCACTTCACAAATCTTTATCATTTGCAATCCTTCATGTTTTAGAACACAGGTATTACTTTCACTTGTAACATGCTGAAACTTCAGAAGACAGGTTGGTCACAGGTGACACCTCAGCCTACAGGAGCCCATTTTTATTAGATATTTCTAGCTTACACCCATCATGGTCTGGAAAGATTCTTACTGAAACAAACTAAAATGAGAAAAACATTAAATTATGAATAGTAAATTCACGAGCTTATGCAGCTGCAAGTATTACCAAATCATGCACATAAACAATTTTTTTCTTCTGATAGTATTTTCTTTGTAGAAAAACACACTTTTAGCAACTGACCTATACAATTCCCATATCCATCCTGTAAAGCCTCAGTTTCTCATTCTCCACCAAAAAATAAATAAATAAAATAAAATCATTGATAAAAACTTAAAAAGAAAGAACACTTCTGTCTCCAAATGCAATCATTTCAATTAATTTCTGAGTGTGAAAACAGCTCAGTTGTCATTAAAAAAGTACACTTCTTCTTTTTTTGCGAGAAGGTGCTCAGTAGCGTAAGATCCACAGACTTAGACAAACTGATTACAAAACTCCCCTCAACTTCAATACTGGATTCTGATGAAGTTTAAACTACATGCAGATATAAGTCCTGTTGGGGTGGGTGTGACTGGTGTTTAGGGGGAAAATAATAAAGATGGACAACCATATGCAGGTTTACCTTACCTTTAAAGAAAGACAGGAACAAAGGTGCCCAGAGACACAGCCCAGAATAAAAAAATCCCAAGCACTTTTCAGTAAGCATTGTCCAAACTGGCTGTCTATCCTTTCCAGAGCAGAGGGTAAAAGAAGATGAAGTCCAAGGGAGAGTCTGCAGTGACTGATGGATTTGGCAATTATAGTAATAAGGCACCAAACCAGCTTCCCACCAGGAGAGAGAAGTGCATTATCTTGTGTGCTTCTCCCGTCCCCAGGAGCCAAATCAGCTCAATGTGGCTCAGTAAATCTAAACACAAAGGGGCTAGATACTTAGCCCGGGACTGCGGGTCCCAGGCACTCTAAGCCTTTCCTTGATCAGCAGCAAATGCCAGCGATCCTCGCACACAGCTGTGTGTGTGCTGCATGGAGGGGGGGCACTGCTGCCAGGGAGATGCTTTCCACATCTCCACTGATTGTACCTAACTCGAGAGAGCACGTCTGCAGTGCTTCCAGTGCTTGCACTCGAGTGCCTCTAGAGCTGCTGCCTAGAAAAATGAGTTTGCGTCCCTCGCTGCTTTCTCTCAACTGTCTGCGTAACTTGCAGTGCACACCTGTAGCATGATCTCCCTGCAATTCCTCTGCCCTATCCCAGACATGGAAGCTGGGGAACATAACCCTGGTCAGTCTCATGCCCTCCTCAGTGTAACCTTTCCTGTAAGCACTTCCATGAAAGGCAGGTAGTTGTCCTCGTTCCCCCTTCTCCACTGGCCCACTGCTGATGGCTTTGCAGCTGGGAATTTTGTAAACATCCTGGTTTCCCCAGCTCACTTGCTCTGCCTCCCCACTCCACTCTATTCATCAGCCAGATAAAAGCAAGCTGTGAATACAATTAATGACATTTAACAGTTTTTTTTCACAATTTTTACATCTTCTGCACAGTTACCTACTTCTCTTTCACTGAAAGCACTGTCTGGACATGGGAACACCATGCAGGTCTTGGGAAATTTTGCCAGCCTGTAGTTTGTGTTGGATTTCAAAAGGCCAGGGACAGAAGGGGTGTCCTGCATTTTTCTGCCAAATTTTACCAACAGACTTTTCTGCTTGGGTTGAAAGTTGTTGAGACCTTTCCCTCCTCCCCACAGTCTCAATCCCAAGTAAGGGCAATGAGTCCTTCCTGGGCACACACTCAGACCCTACTTGTGTCTTTCTAGCTTTGAGTTGCGTACCATTGAGACACGACAGAGGGAAAGGGGGTTTACATCTTCTGTAGTTTGTGTTGCCTGGGTGAAAAGTGCTGTAGTACCCTCATATTCAGCTGTTAGAACTCTGATCTCTTTTCTGCCACTCAGAATACCTCGTAGAGAAACTCCAGACAGGAAGTATCTAGCAATATGGTTCTGTCTTTGACTAGGATCTGACAGGAATATGGAGACCAGCACACAGCACCGAACTGCAAATGGCACCATGTACGACCTGGTGGGAGCCAGGTTAAAGTCGGAATTTTGCAGGACAACCCCTGCCAGGCCTGGATATCTCCTCAGAAATCAGAGCAGCTGCTTTCTGTTTACTACAGACACTTCTATCATGCTGGACGTGCAGTTGAAGACAAAAATAATATGTGGGGATGAATGAGGTGTTAATTCTGTCATGCTATCTGGTGCTATAGGACAGTACTCTCACACAAGGATATCTGATGCTGAGAAATACAAAAATTGAAACCTTCACAGTTTGTTAGGGACATAAAATTGAGAGGATGGACAAAAACCAGACAGTTCAAAGATAATGAAGTATGCTCTGAGAAGCAGACATAGGAGATTAAACAAAATACTCTGATATGTTCCCAACAATAATCTTCAGGGTTTGCTCAGAAGTTCTTCTGAAATGAACCAAACACAGATTCCTAGGATACACTTTGTCCAGAAAGAGAAGACAGACAGCTCACAATTGTATTAAAAAATAAATGAATAAATAGATAATAATAACAATACAGATAATCAAACTCTGCCTTCAGTGTGGTAAAGGGGGAATGAGGGAGTACACTGTCTGAAGGAAATGATTAAACAGGTAACTCCAATCAGAGAATTACAATAGGGTTAAGAAACTTTTCCAATGGAGAAGCATGTGCTCAACCACATCATGACAAATAAAGAGATGCAGTCTGCAAGAAAATTGCTCTTACAACAGGTAAAGAAGCAGCATTAAGTGAGTCTTGAAGGCTTGTTAGTGCCACTCATGTTAGTGCATAATATTATGCACTTTGAAGACTGTGGGGGAGGATTAACATGTCAATACCAGAGAATATGCCATTAAGGATCAGATACCTTGCAAGAGTAACAGAGAGATGTGAGGATGCAAACACTTATCTCTTTGTGAAATGGCGTGGATAATAATATCTGATTAGAAAGGGGTGTAATTTGAGATGCGTATGTGAATGAAACTCACTAAACTGCACTGAGAAGTCCCAGGTGCTGAGAAACCCCAAAGTGATAATGCTAAAGAGTAAGATGACCACCAGCTGGATTAAACAGTAACTAAGGAATCACAGACAAGACTTTTGACACAAGGAGTTGGCTTGAAAATAAGAAGAAAAGCAGCATAAAAATTTGTGATAAGAGAGCAGTAAAGAGAGAAGCAGCCGTATCATCTGACAGTGCCAGAAGTGAAGTCTCAAGCATTGCACCCTATGTCACAATGAAGCAGCCTCCCCCAGCAATGCCATAAAGCTTGGGGGCTGCCAGATGGGATGTGACATGTAGAACCAGTCAGGTGTTTCTCTCACCTGGTTGGGCAAGCATATATTACAGGGAGCAGCATGAGTGCACATGAAGCTGAAGCATCTACATCTGCTCTCTGTGCAGAGAGGAATGGCTCACTGTAATTGAACATCTTTAGTCTTGGAGAAGGACAGAAATCATGCCACTGTGGTGCCAGGCATATGCAGCTGCATGTTATAGCACAGTTAGAAGACGAGGGGCTGCTTATGTGGCAATGCTGCTGAGACAGAGATTTAGTAAAGCACGCTCTGCAAGGAAATAGTGAAGGCATCTCTGAATGCATGGCAGAGGACAAGTGTACTTGGAAAAGAGAGTAAATCATTAATGAAGGTCCTGAAATCAAGACATCAGTATATGCAGAAGTGTTTTATTTATTTTTAAACACACGTGTACCTGGTCAGAGTGCATCTCGATCCTTTCTGCAATTCACAAGTTATCTATCTGGATACACACCTCAGTGCCATTTTCCCTCTGGCTGCATTTGTTTATACACTTGTAAATGAATTTGGATTCCTGTTATGCAACAGATAGGCAGGAATAGAAAACAGAATAGTTGGGTGGACACTTCAATTCTAGCTGCTCCAGTTCATGATGTTGCTCCACTGCTCTTGTCCTCACCTCTATTCAAACACAGACTTCTGCCCTCTCTAAAGAAATTTAAGATTTCCTCATAGGTCCTGTGTTTCTCTAATCCACATACATGCTAGTCTCACTTATTCCAGAGACACCAGGGTCTGGTGCTGGATATTCTTACATCTGAATGTGTCAGTGTCTCTGTCACAGGTGTCTGTGAGTGGCTGCAGGAGGTTCTGATGCACCAGGACTACTAACAAGACGACAGGTTAGAAATGTGAAAATTTGGCACAAGTGGCCCTCAGTGTACAAGAAAGGCCTCGGTGTAGTTGGTTTACGTGGCAAGATTTTGATAGTGCACGGAGCTGAAGGGGTGGCCTTCCATGTGAGAAGAGACATGAGGCTGTCTCTAGACACAGCCAGTTCCACCCAGACCTAAACAGACCACCCACTGGCTGCAGCTGAGCAATCAGCAATCCTCATGACGCTTCTGTGATAACAAATTTAAGGGGAAAAAAAAAAAAAAAAAATCCACTGCACAGTAGCTGTGATGCCAGAGAAAGCTGTGAGAGAAACAGCCATAAAGAGAAAAAGCAGGGAAGGAGGTGCTCCACACCAGAAAAGCGCCCCTGTGGCCTGTGGAAAAGACCAGCAGGCTGTCCCTGTGCAGCCTGAGGAGGACTGTGTTTGAACAGCCTGGGATGGACTTCACTTGCTGCAGATCTGGCCTGATGGAAGCTGCAATCCATGGAGAGCCCGTGCAGGAGCAGACTCCTGACAGCAGCTGTGGCCTGCAGGACACCTAGACTGAAGCTGTCTATTCCTGGTGGACCGTACACTATGGAGTGGACCAGCACTGAAGCAATTCATGAAGCCCTCACGAGGGACCACATATCAGAGGAGCATGAGAAAGGAGCAGCATGAAGTGCTAACTACAACCACTGTGCTGCTCAGAGTTGTGGGGAGATGGAAGAGTGGGGAATAGGGAAGAGGATAAGAAAACATAGGGGTAGAAAAGCTATTTTTTAGTTTTGTTTTGATTTATCACTATTCCACTCTGTTACTGATATGCAATAAATCAAAATATTTTTCCCTGAGTTGAGTCTGCTTTGCCTGTGACTATAATTGACAAATGATATCCCTGTCCTTATCTTAACCTATGCATTTTCTCTCCCCTTTTTGCTGAGAAGGAGGTATGGCAGTGGCTTGATGGATGAGCAAAGGGTAACCCACCCATCACACCTGCCTTCCTGAAGGCAGCCACAGATGCACTGCCATTAGCACAAGATGCACAAGATGCATTGCCATTGCTCCCTATGAGACCCAGGCCTGCCACAGTCTTTAGCTTCAGAAATCTGTATCTTCAGCAATAAACACTGAGCGGTATCAACACAAGCTCAGCAGCTATGTGCTTGCTTCCAGAGTACTTAGACTGTCCATAAGCCACACCATGAGATCAGCTATCCATACCAACCCCATGCAGAACCTTCCCAAACCCATCCAAAGGAGTGACAGGATGTGTTTCCAGTGAATCACATGCAATCACAGTAGTAAACATCCCTAGAAAAGGAAGACCTTGCCACACAGACGCCAGTGATGCATATATCTAAAACTAAATGTTTTAGATAAACACTAAAATAAACTAAACACTTTTATCTAGTTTTATACAGTAGGCAATCACATTTTGGTAAACTAAGCAGAAAGTTGTCAAACAAACACAAAGAAAAGGCTGTAGGCAACACTCACAGACATGAAAGTC